CCCCCCCCCCCCCCGCAAACCCTAAACCCTAATTGGTAATTATCTGGGCCCCTACATTATCCCCTTGAGGGGGTTTTGGAGTCTTTAAGGGCTTTGCACTGAGGCCCCCAGCATGCCCAAAAGGTCTGCCGGCTCCTTCCGCACTTTAGGGCGTTTGGGGTTCCGGGGACTTCGTAAGTAGAGATATGAATACCTTAGTTAGGGTTATAAGTATACCCCAACCTAAACCCTAAACCTTAANNAAACCTTAAACCCGAAATCCTAAACTCCATAACCTAAACCCTATAGTTATAAGTAGATGTTACTAACTATAGTTATATTTCTTATGACCGCACTTGCTGAACCCCTTGATCCTCAAAGCAAGGGTTTACAGGGCTGTGGTTGGGCTGTAAAGGGTGTATACCCGGGTTTTCTAGAGTTTATTGGGTTCAGAATGACAGCCCTCATAAAGTCCTATTGATTCGACTGGGTCTCGGGGCAGATTCTAGTAGACGATTGGGGGTATTTATGCATTGTAATTCAGACTTACCTGTCCAGTATCCTTGGGGGGAACTAAACGTTAACCTTTCGGACTAGATGGGGCTTGTAGTCCCCCCCCCAAAAAAAAAACAAAACCCTAACTCCCGAAGCAGGAAAGCCCAAATCCCCAAAAAGGTTAAAGGCTCCCCCAAGGCAAACCTCTAATGTAGGCGCCTTAATAATTAGAATAGGGTTTTGGGGTACATTATACTACAGTATAGTATATAATAAGGACCCCCGCAGAATAATGTAGGGAATTATTAAGGCCCCTATGTTACAGTAGTTGAGGTCCCATCAACCCTCAGCCGATGCTTCGAGGGGAGAACCACATTGTTCGCCAGCTTCGCCACCCAGAGACCCCAATATAATATAATATGGGAATGTACCTTAAATTGCAGGTGTCTTACTATTTATGGTTTGAGGTAAACTCCTTGATTAAGGGGTATGAGGATCTCTGCGCAAGTCGGTGGGAAAACCAAAACGCCTAAGCTACTAATTAACATGAACCCAGAAAGTTGGCACATAGGTTTACGAGGACTCGTGCACGGTTCCCTTAGGCTTTGTCTTAAGGGCATGAGGATATTAATGTTCCAATTTTCTGGCTTCTACTGTAATTCAGGACCCCACAAGCTACAATAAACGGTTAAAAAACAACGACAAGCACATTCACATTCATAGTCTGCCATTACCGACGAGACCCAAACCCCTGAATACCAAGAGTATGTTGTACTGGAAAGCATAAGGATCACTCTCTAGCTGTAATCATCCGAAAACATGAGCGTATTTATGAAGACTGACGCTAATGGTTGAGGCTCTTATGTCGGACTGGCTTTCTTTAAGCTGTTGAGCCCCTTTAACCGTGACCTGAGAAACGGTTTTGAGTTGAGGGTCTAGGATTTAGGGTATAGTGGACTTATACCAGGCAGAATCCTAGTTGGAGACGTCAGACGGACTGGCTAGCTTCCACAATACCTAATCCTAAAGTAGAATGACGATTCATGGCTATCTGCATGCTGACCACCTATATATGAGGGGTGCTTACCCAAATCACAAATAGTCCTGGCATTAATACGTCCTAAACCTCAATGAATCCCTCAACCCTCAAACCCCTAAACCCTAAAACTTAGATTTAAATAGGTCTCCGGAGAACAGCTTTTTAAAATCGAAAAGCTTCAGCTCCCTTGGAAAGAGTTTAGGTTTTAACAAGTTTTAATAACGAGAGCTTGTAGCCTACTTATTAGACTTCAAGCCTTGGATGGTGCTCTTGCAGGTGTAGGGTTAGGGTTTAGGGTGTCGCCAAAAGGTGCCGTGAATCGCTCCTACATCGCAGGGCTGAGGTATTGGGGGCTTGGTCTTGTCCAACAGGGGCCAAAATGAATGGAATCGGGTTGTTGGGGATCACTACTTCGCAAAACTCCCCCTAGACCCTAAATCCTGGACCCTAAACCCTGAATCCTACACCCTAAACCCTAGATCCGATTTCGGGACCCATTCGAAAGGAGTACGCTGGTGGCCTGCTGGGTCGCTGGTGGAGGAGGAGGCGGCTTCGCCTGCCGTTGCACCCGAAATGTTCGTGCAACCAAGCTGTTTCGAAACTAACTACCTGTGACAGGCTTTAGGGATTTGGGGCTTAACATTTAACTTTTCCTACTTGGCCAGTTTCTCTTCTACAGGCGGTAAACACTAAACCCTAAACACAACCCTAAACCGTGACAGGCGGGCAGAGGGTTTGAGCAACTTTACCTATGTTGGCCTCTAACCGCGCCATAACAGCCTGAATCCTTATACCTATAGTCTCCATTGTAGTTCCTTTTTAAGGTATAAAAATGGTTTATTGTTTAGGGTTTAGGGTTTAGGGTTCAGGGTTTCGGACTATACCTATCATCTCCATTGTAGTTCTTTTTTGGGGTTGCCTTATAAACTCCTTAATATATATTTGGTTAAACCCCAAAAGAGGAACTACGCTGGAGACTGTAGGTACCGTTTACAGGAAATGCGCTGGCAAAACTTCACCCTAAACCCTATAAGCCCTAAATCTTGCTTACACAACTTCTTTAAATTTGCCGCCTTTTGGTCTTACGGGAGCCGCTGCCGACCTTACCCATAAGGCCCCACAGGGACCTTCCCATCCCTTGCTCAGGGCCCGAATCACACTCCATAGACCAACCCTAAACACTAAACCCTAAACCCTCACACTCCATAGATCCTCTATCCTTTTCCGGATTTCGAGTTCAGGGAGTCGGGCGGGCATTTACCTATCTCGCCTATGCAAAAGACGGTTTTTGGATTAGGGTTTAGAGTGCGCTGGTGGCCTCCTGAATCACTGGAGGCGGCTTCGCCTGCCGTCAAACGCGAACTGTTCGGGAACAACTGCTTGGAACAACCGAACACATGGGGGCTTCGGGGTTTGGGGCTTTAGGGTTTCGGGGTTTAGGGGTTCAGGTTTTGCAGTCGTGATTAAGATTAAGTTCTGCGGTCACTATCTCAATTATTACCCCAATTTGGAACTGTAGACTCGTCTGAGGTTGTAGGCACTATCTACGAGTAGACCCATAGTAACCCTGATAGGACCAGACGGTCAGGGAATCGTTCCAACAGTTTTCCTTCCTTCCTTCCTTCCTTACCTCCTTCCTTCCTTCCTTCCTTCCTTCCTAAAGGGTCTGTTCTTCTTGTAGGCGCGTAGGCCTTGTAGGAGTTTGGCAGGGCCATCAAGGATTCCTCAAAAATCTTTAGCAGTCGTAAGATGTCGTAAAACTGTAAAGCATCATTCCTTGACCTCAGGAATCTTAAGAACCTTGCAGCACACACCAACCCTCAAAGCCGAAAGCTGAACGTAGGCCGTAATGATTAGAATTAGAATAAGGTTGTCACCCAGAACAGGATTGGTAATTATTCAGGCCCGTATTGTGGTCCTCCGTGTCCCAAACCCACAAACTTGGATCCCCAGTAACCCAGGGAAAAAAAGGCTGCCTTCTTGGCATCGGCTAGTTATAGGGAACCCAGGACCACAGAAAGGCAACAAAAAGCCCACCGGGAGACCTCGCAAATTGGAACTAGCTGCCTTTTCAGTGGCTGAGTTCATTAGAATGGGGTTTTGGGGCCCATTATATTTCTAATTATAATAAGGAACCTCCCCCAACATATTATAGGTAATTATTAAGGCCCCATATTAGAGCTGCCTTTTCGGTGGCTGAGTTCTCAAGCCAAGAACAGCGCCGATGGCACACAGAGCCTAAAATCCAGAGCTCGCACACCAGACCCCCCAAACCTATGAACCCTAAACCCCAAACCCTAAACCCGAAACCCTAAAACCCTTAACCCTCAAACCCGAGACCCTAAACCCTAAAACCGTAAACCCTAAACTGTGCATCCGAATCCTGGGACCCCTAAGCCCAAACAGTCCTTCGCAAAAGCCCGTATGCTGAATCCCCAAGAGCCCCTCGTACTCGCAGTTTAGGTTAGGGTTTAGGGTTTAGGGTTTAGGGTTCCTTGCACAACTGTTATACTAACCCCTCAACCGGCTCCTCTGCAGGAGTTGCCGAGGACGTCTTCGCGACGTCTGCGGTCTCGAAGGGGAAGCTGACGGCCTTTTCGGAGCCAACATTTGCGGTTTAGGGTTTAGGGTTTAGGGTTTAGGAGTTTTGGGGTTTAGGGTTTAGGGCTTCAGCAACGGTTTATGGGGTGGAGGGTTTGGGGCTTACGGTTTAAATGGGTCTAGGGTTGAAAGTTAGGGGTGCCGTGCTGAGCGGTCCGTATAATAAGGAAACAGTCCACTATCTGTAGGGCTTACAACATGGATCCCCCTGTTCCGGGTTTTAAGGCCCTCATAATAAAGGATCCTGGTATTTGGGGTGTCCTTCGGATAAGAATCCTACTATTTAGGGTTGCTCTTGTACCTCTGAAGCTTAAGCAAGGATCCCTACGGCTGGGCGTTCGAGGTCTATTCTCAGGGTTTTGCAGCTTAGGGTTTAAGGCTTAGACTCAAGCTGTCTACCCATAGGCCCCATAGTAGTTCCTTTTTGGGGCTCATATTTAGAATCCTATAAGGTAAACTCAAAATCATAATTAATCCCCAAAAGGAACTACTATGGGGCCTATGTCTATGGGCCTGTGGGTAGAGCGGAGCGTTTGGGGCCGAGAGCCGTCCGAATCTTGCCTTGAAGCCCGAAGACTCCAGAACGCCCTAAGTAAGGGTCTAGGGTTTAGGGTTTAGGGCTGTCTAGGGTTTAGGGTTTAGGAAGGAATGCCCCGTAAATTATCGTAAGAATCCTAATATGATTTAATTATAAGGTCTAATATAGGAGCCTTAATAATCACAATGGGGTTATGGGCCCCTTCTACCATAATTATGATAAGGAACCCCCAAAATATACAATAGGTAAGTCATTAAGGCCGCTATGTTAATTCCTTAATTAAAAAGGTTTTGCAGTCTCTGGGAAGCTCCCAATCATTCAATGGCCACCTCTTCTCTGGGGACTTTGGAGGCTGCCGAGATGGGGTGTCAGTATAGTGCACGAGCCTTCGTAGTTAGAATAATGTAGCGGCCTTAATTATTAGAACAGGGTCTTGGTATATATATATATATGTATATATACACATACTACAGTATGTGTATATATATATATATATGTATATGTATACACATACCACAGTTATTATAAGGAACCCCATCATAGTATAGGTAATTATTCGGGCCCCTTTTTTCGGGGGCTTCTTTGATGCAATTACAGCTCACTTTGTTCTAATTGGTAAAGCAACCCTTACTCAAAGCACACCTTTGAATGGAACGCTATTCTCATCAACAAGGCACCCATCGCTGGGAAACCCGCCACCCAAAACCGATTTCGGCTGCCTGGTAGCGCAGAAACGGATTCGTCATGGGCCAGCCTTTGAATCATTAGACTAAGGTTTAGAGTTTGGGGTTTTACGGATTAGGGTTTAGGGTCTTAGCATGATCGGGAATATAGTACCGCAAACGGGTCAAAGGCTACCTACTCTACTATTCAGTATTGAATTTATACGGACCCTACAACAAAACGAGGTTAGCCAGCCGCAGGTCTGTGGAGCTTTCCCGAACCCCTGAACGAAGAGGCTTCCTGTTGCAGACGTTCTGCAACCCTAAGGCTCTAAGGACTCATATTTTAAGGCTTTTGGGCCCAAAGACTATACTATATAAGGCTTTTGGGCTTTGTTGAGTCTTAGGTAAGGGTCCAGTGCAGGGGCCGTAATGTTTGGATTAGGGTGTTCGTTTGCCGTCTAGTGAAGGAACCTGATTAGGAACCCTGGTCCTATAACCCCCAATACACAAGGCTCATATTAAGAACTCTAATAACGACCCAAGGTTTCCTAATCAACTTCGTATATTAGGGTTTAGGGTTTCGGGTTGGCTTTACGGGATTCTGGCAACTTTGAGGAAGCCGCAGTAGTCCGACCACTTTCTCAGGTTTCTGTCCTCTGGCGGTTGTTCTACACTTCTACAGCTTGTTGCCGAGAAGGGACCAGTAAGGAGATCTCAGCGAAACTGGGACTCCGCTTTCGGATGGTTTCGGGGCGGAGAATGTAAGCTTGGGGTTTATAGGAACGACGGGAACGACATAAAATGAAACCATTCGGGGAGCCCGATACCCCTTGGAATCAACGTGCAATTGAACAGGTGGGGAGTTCAGGGTATAAGGCTTGTATAAAGCTTCTATAATCTATAAGGGCTGTAGACCTTCTATAAGGCTCCTATAACGATAACTACCCACCTGAAAATGTGCTAGACTACAGGTCTTTTTCCGGGGCCTTAATGATTGGAGCGGGGCCTTGGGGTATATTGGAATAGTAAGCGGGGACTGTAAGACATGTTGATTTCCTTGTACTTCATCCAAAAGGGACCCTAATTTGGAGAACTACCCATGTGCTTCTACTGGCGAAGTTAGGCGGCTTAGCAGGCTCCGGGACTTCCCCGACCTTTGACCATCTGCCCCATGCCTTAAGGACGCAGAGAACCCTAAAAGGTTTTAGGGTTCATATACCTTATAGGGATTCATAGGATACTTGTATAGGGCCCCGAACCCTAAACCCTAAACTTGCTCGTCTTTTTCAATGAGATTTCACCAGTCTTCCTCTGTCCGTTCTCTTTGCCAGTCACCCCAAGATTACCATTCACGGTTTACGGGTTTAGGGCATTTTTCTTGTGCCCGACGTCGAAATATGGAGATGCACCCAGAACCAAGCCGCCGACAACGGAGTTCGCCTCACATGCTCTGGTGCTTACCACTTACGCCGTATAGCAGCAAAAGCAGCAGCAGCTGTTGCCGCTCAGCCCGGCACCGAAAGCGGCAAGGATGTCAGTGCTGGTCTTTGTTTGAGCCAAGGCGGTGTCATAGCACAACAGGCGCATTTGTCGAACTGGCCAGCACTGTCCATCTCGTCGACGGAAAACTGATCCAAGACACCCACCAGGGCACTCAAAATCTGGACTTTATCGCCTCCGAATGTCCTTTTCTTGTCTTTCCTGACAAAAGCGTAGCAAGCTAACCATCAGAAGGGTGCTCGCAACTCTACTCACACCCTAAACCCTAAACCCTAACCTTGGCTGACTTCTGAACCCCTCCTAAAAGTTACACCTTTAGCCTACTTATAAAAGTTCATAAAGAAACCCCAAAAGTTAAAGTCCTAAGGGCCAACCAGAAGAACGCATAGTAACCCTATAACCTACTTACTAACTCCCCTGTTCCGCCGAGTAGAGCTGGGACATCCCCCAGTCAGCTACGTATGACCATAGGGACCCTTTGGGGGGGTAAGGGGGAGGGGAGCAAGGGACTATACTTCCTTGGGTCCTTAAATAGGCCTTACTGGGTCCTTATTACACCCTAAACCCTAAACCCTATTATTACAGGTACTAAGGGCCTCCTCCACCCCTCCCCCAACCCGCCTTAAGGGTCCTTGTGATATAACCCTGCGCTGACCCTAGATAACCCTCAAACCTTAGACGCTAAGAGCCCGTGCAGTAGCTTTAGGCGATAAGTCTGTACCTTACCAGGAGCCCTTATGTGAACGCTGAAAGGAACCTATATTCCCTTTCCTAAACCCTTAAAGGAGCCCTAAAAAGAACAACCCTTGAAGGAGCCTTTCAGGAACCCTTATAGATCGGAGCCCAGAAAGGACGCCCTTGTAGATCCCTTAAAGGAGCCCTCAACGGGGACCCACCCGGAGGAAATGTCAACGCCAGGGGGCATAGGACAGGCAGCGCCGATGCGGCGGCGAGTCCGGAGGCACCTGAAGCCCAAACCCTAAACCCAGGGTTTAGGGTTTAGGGCTTAGGGTTCCAAGCCTACAGCCTAAAGCTTTTAGGATTGTAGTTTTGGGGTCTGGCGGGATTAAAGCTGAGGGTGCAATAGATGGTGTAATACGGTTTCACAGGGCTTTGTAGGGGTGTTGAGGGTTTAGGGGTTATTCGGGAATTCGGGTTAAACCCTAAACCCCTAATCCCGGGTTTCAATGGAGTCGTATGTGTTTCAGAGTTGAATATGTCGGGCTTTTGGATGCTTCAGGGCCCAGGGCCTAGCGATTTGTGGTGTAAGGTCTAGGGGTTTAGGGGCTCAGGGATTAAGGTTATTTGTGGCGTAAGGGGCACCCAAACGGAAGGTGCCAATATACCCCCGAGGAGGTCGCGTTGCGGAGGCTGGATCCAACATGAGAGACCAGGACTGCTTTGAGCAGTCCCGCGACGGCTTTACCGTCGGGTCTAATCAAGCCTATCTGCCTTAGGTTTTCAGGCAAATGAGAAGGCTTGCTAAGTTTTGGAAGAAGTGCTAGATTAGCATTTGTCCAGCCTTCGGGCATGTCCGACTGCTCTGGGAGACCTAAACCCTAAACCCCTAAACCCTCAACCCTAAACCCTGAACCCCTAAACGCTAAATCCAGAACCCCTAAACCCTAAAACCCCGAACCCCTAAACCCCTAAACCCTAAACCCTCAACCCTAAATCCTAAACCCTGAACCCTGAACCCCTAAATCCTAAGCCCTAGACCCTGAACCCCTACATCCTAAACCCTAGAGCATCATAACCGTCAGAAGCCCCAGGGTCCCGGCTCTCGACGCCGCCATTACCGACGAAGCTCCAGGGATTCCACTCCTCCGGGCTTGCGGCTCCGTTTAAGCTTCGGGGTGTAGGGTTTAGGGTTTTTAGGGTTTAGGGTTTAGGATTTAGGGTTTAGGATATTTAGAGTAGACCCCCAAAAGGGTCTAAAACATAGATCCCCTAAGGGGGTTCCTATAAAGTACCCTTCAGTAGTAAGGGTCCCTATTTAGAGGATCTACTTTTTAGATCCTTTTGGGGGTCTGGAACCCTAAACCCTAAACCCTAAACCCTAAAACCTAAACCCTAAACCCTAAATCCTAAATAGATCCTTTTGGGGGTCTGGGAAGCTTCGGGGTTTAAGGTTTAGGGTTTTGGAAATTTAGAGTTGGGGGCTTAAGGTTTAAGGGTTTTGGACTGATTTTTTTTGGGGGGGGGTTTAGGGTGTTTAGGGGTTTAGGGGTTTGGGGTTTAGGGTTTATAGAGTTT